AATTATATTAATATTATTTTATTTAACTCATATTTTATATATTTAAATAAAATAACTGAAATAAAATTTTTTTTCAAAAATATCTCTGTGGTGGGATTTCAAATCCGGTGGCAATTTAAAGAAGTGGCAAGCATTGACTTTAATGACTATTTTGCGTCAAAAAGCGGCAAAAAAATTTGACTAAGAGACAACGTCGGTAGGAGAACACCTTGCACTAGTTAAGAGTTCTGGTTTTGTTTTCTTTTGAGAAAAAGTAAGAACTCTCATAATAAATAATTATGTTTTCATAAAAAAATAAAAATATTATACTTATAATATTATGCAGTTATATACAATATTGTAAGTGATTTAAAAAAAAGAATTAATTTAGATATAATAAAATAATATTATTGTAAGTCTATCATGGCAGCAGAAAATTTTTGAAAAATTGTGAGATTCTCAAATTAATGTTTTAAATATGTTAAATTAATTTAAGATATGTGCATTTAAAATCACTTACAGGCAAATTAATTTTAAAATATATAAAAGTTAATTTAAAGACCTGCTAATAATAAATAAAAAATTAATTAAAAAGTGAATATCATTTTGTATTATAAAAAATTAAATAAAAAATCTTAAAATTACCTTGTTTTAGTATTTGAAAAGGCTAAAATATTTTAATTATTTTTAAATTAATGATTGATACACATTCTAATTTAATATATCTATCAACACTCATAAGTTTAATTATTAAATTCTAAAAAAGAAACTTTTCTTGCTTTTGAATTTAAATTTTAAAATAATAACTTCTTAATAAATGTATTGTAAAGTATGTTAAATCAAAATATATATTAATTATTATCTTATTTTTTACCTAATTTTTACAAATCAAGCTGATAAATATGAACATAAGAAATTAAACTTAAATTTATACTTCCCTTGCCCATACCCGGTTCATTCATGGACGAAAAATACAAAATCCCATCGGGTGTACGTAAAATTGTCATCCCAAAGTCACGAGCTCCCTTGTAATTTATGTCTAAGCACTGCCTCGTTATATAAAAATAATAATAATAATAATAATAAACAAGAATAAAAATGATTTCAAACAATATGTATTTTTTACCTTTTTTACTTTAAAATAATAATTATTTTTTACTTTAAATTTATTTCAAATTAACTATATTTTTAAAATAAATAAATATTTTTTTACTTTAATCTTATTA